CAGGTATTGCCCAAATATTAGGCGATACAATCAGGTGTTTTCAATTATTATATTTTAGGGTTACTCTCAATTTGTACACTAGGGGATAAAAATTTATATCAATATGCACATGAAATTAATAGCTATCAATTTACTATCTAAAACTAAATGAATAAATTACACTTAGATTCTCTCACGTTTGTCATTTAATCATTTGGATCATTTCACATTTAGAATATTACTCATATACCTTCTAACGTTTGCGCACGTGTAACACATAATCTCTTATCGTTAATATCTGTTAATATAATCGTTAAAAAATATGATTTCATTCTAATAAAAAATTATAATTTTTTTATTACCTTTTTATTTTGTGGGCTCGTTATACTTTAAAGTTCAAAATCAAGGTTACCATCTGAATGCCCAATATAATACAGATATTTATATAATATTTTTTATATCTAATACAATATATCACTTAAACAAAATTATTTGGATGCCCAATTGAGAGAACATTTTTAGTCATATTTAGATTCTAAAGAGATGTAGGTATAATATTTCAAATGTGGGGGTTTAGGTAATTAAGTGACAATCATGAGAGAGTCTAAGTATAATTTATCTATTTAGTTTTAAACGACAAATTGATGGCTGCTAGCGTGAGCTGTATATTAATACAAATTTTTATTTTTGAGGGTACAAATTAAGATTTTTGATCTTTAAGAGTATAAATTAAAATTCAAACGGTCTTTCAAAATACAATTTGAGATTAACTCTTTGTTTAATCTTGATTCAATTTCGATTGTTGAGTCTTGTCCAACAAATTGTAAAATTAATTAAATCTAATAAGATTTCAAAGTTAATTTTGTAAATAAACAGAATTTAGGTAATGTATGAGTCGATTAGAATATACTCATGACTTGACCGACCAAACCATCAGATGCCTAGACCTTGGTCACGATGAACCCACAAATTTTCGTACATCATTATCATCCGTGATTCCATATAATACATTACAATCTCTTTCCTCTGTTACTCCCACTCCCACTCCCACTCCACCCACCGATACCTCCTACCCTCATTTGCATCTCACCCTAACATTATTGAAAGAATCCTAAAAAAAATTAATTGAAGTAGATTGATTTTTGAATTATTTAGAAGAATTTTAAAAGGTAAAGAATTCTACATAACTACATACATAAATAAGAGAAAGACTAAGGTATAAGATTAAAATTTATAGTCTTTTAAGATCAAGTTATAATTTTTTGCAATATAAATTAAAAATATAAAAAATATAATTGATCATAAAATGTTATAATTAATTATAAAAATTATAAACATTTATAGGTAAAATTATTTTTTTTAAAAAGATCAAATATAAAGGGACTAAATTTTTGTTAGGAAAAATTTCAGTCACACCCCTTTTAATTTATCTTATCTTCAAAGACACCTCTTCTATGTTATAAATCTTCACTGATACTCCCTCTCAGATTAAAGATATTAATTGAAATACAAGTTTACTAAATTACTCATCATATATTTTAAGAAAAACTTCATCTACACATTCTCTAGATAAACATATCTACAATGAGACCCCATTTATTTTCAAACATTTTTTACGTATTAAAATTCAGATCGATTAAAATTTGATTTGATGTAATTAAAATTTGAATCGATTAAAAATTATATTTTTTAAAGTATTAAAATTTGAACCGATTAAAATTCTATTGGATGATCAAATCAAATTTTAATTAACTCGCATTAAATTTTAATCGACCTAATTTTTCATACATAAAATAATATAAATTTTAATTGAGTCAAATTTTAATACGTAAAAAAATAAAATTTAACCAACTTGAATAGAATTTTAATAAATAAAAAAAATATAAATTTTAATCAATTCGAAGTGAATTTTAATCGAGACTAACAATTCAAGTAGAGCTCAAATTTTAATATATAAAAAAATAATATTTAATCAGTTCGAATTGAATTTTAATCGACTCAAATTTTAATATATATAAAAAAATATTTAATCAGTTCGAATTTTATGTAAAACAATAAAATTTAGAGTTAATCTCAACTTACACCCCGAAAGATTATTCAAATCTCAATTTACACCATCAAAGTTTAAAAATATTAATTTACACCCTAAAAAACATAAATTCGTATCAATGTGCACATGAGGGCTAACTTCATCCATTTTGTTGTTAAAAAAGTTTGGACTAATTATAAGTAATGACATCCAAAGTTTACAATATTTCATATTTACGATCCAAAATGAATTTCATCCATTAATACTTGTTAAATAGCTTTTAATTGTATTGTATCATAACATTTTCGTGTGGTGTTTGAGTCAATAAAAAAATTTTAAAACTTAAAAAAATTATAAAATACCTATTTTTTGCTTACAATACAACTATTTTCTACCTAAAATTAGACACAAATATTTTGATTGTCCGATTAAATTAAAGTTAGATACGAATAACACGATTATAGACGAAAAATAGTTATTTAATAAGTATTATAAGCAAGATGTCGTAAATGTGAAATATATGATGACGTGATACAATTGAAATGATATTATGACATGATACAATTGAAAGCTATTTAACAAATATTAATAGAAGAAATTCTTTTTGAATCATAAATGTAAAATATTTAAATTTTGAGGGATACAATTTATAATTGATCAAAACTTTTTTAACGACAAAATAGATGATAATTAGTTTCAGGTGCACATTGATACGTATTTATATCTTTCCAAATGTAAATTAATATTTTTAAGCCTTAAGGGTGCAAATTGATATTCAAATGATCTTTCGGGGGTGCAAGTTTAGATTAACCCTAAATTTTAATTGCCTCGATTTTTATATAAAAAAATTGTTTGGAGTTTATTTTGGTATTTAAGATAAAAAAAAAAATTTGTTATAAATGATGGTTTAATGACGGGGGTTGTCAATGATGTATAAACTAAGGTGGTGTTTGATACAAAATTAAAAGCTGAACACTAAAAACTAAATGCTGAATTTTAAGCGGTGAATGTTGAATTTTTTAATTCAAAGTTTGTTTGTTATCAAATAAATTTTAAATATTGAATTTAATTAAATTATTTGACAAATATAAAGAGCTGAAGTTTAAAAATTATTATTATTCTAATTTTGTCATTCTTTTTAACCATTTCTCCATAATTGGCTTATTCCTATCACCATCGTCACAAAATGGTGGTGGTAGTGGTGGCGGTAATACAATTGTACTAGTGGTGACAACGATAGTAATAGTGATGATGATAGTGGTGGTGGTGGTGATGGTGATGGTGACAACAACAATAGTGGCGGTGTTAGTGATACGACAATGGTGGTGGTGGTAGTGACATAATGGTAGTGATGGTGACGACGACACAATGGTAGTGGTGACACAATGATAGTGATGGTGGTAGCGATGGTAGTGGAGGTATTGACAATGATGGTGATGGTGATATAATGGTAGTTGTAGCAGTAACAATGGTGGTGGTGAAGATGGCACAATGGTGGTGGTAGTAGTGGTGGCGACGGTGATACAATGGTGATGGTGGTGGTGATAGTGTTGGTGGTGGTGGCGATGACATAATGGTGATGAGGGTATATTTGTTTATTATAAAAAATTGATAAAATTCTTACTGACTAACATTTTTCATTATTAAGTGATAAATATGTGACTTACTACTTAAAATTTTAACGTTTGCTTAAAAAATGTTTAAAATATTAAGTAATATGAGTTTTAAGTTATCAAATAAGTTTAATTTATTAAGTACTTAAAATATTCATGTTTANTGGTGGTGGTGATAGTGTTGGTGGTGGTGGCGATGACATAATGGTGATGAGGGTATATTTGTTTATTATAAAAAATTGATAAAATTCTTACTGACTAACATTTTTCATTATTAAGTGATAAATATGTGATTTACTACTTAAAATTTTAACGTTTGCTTAAAAAGTGTTTAAAATATTAAGTAATACGAGTTTTAAGTTATCAAATAAGTTTAATTTATTAAGTACTTAAAATATTCATGTTTAAGTTTTAAGTGATGTTATCAAATAAACCCTAAAATAGGAGTTAAAGATATTTAAATATAAATTAAAATAAGTGTCAATAATATTTTTAATAATAAAATAATATCTATAAAAATATGATTAATTAGAATAGGTGTTCTAAAATTTTCATCTCTTCTTATGTTTGTGTTCTTANATTAAGTACTTAAAATATTCATGTTTAAGTTTTAAGTGATGTTATCAAATAAACCCTAAAATAGGAGTTAAAGATATTTAAATATAAATTAAAATAAGTGTCAATAATATTTTTAATAATAAAATAATATCTATAAAAATATGATTAATTAGAATAGGTGTGACAAAAATTTTCATCTCTTATTATGTTTGTGTTCTGACAAAACCTGGCGATCAATCATTGGGCTAATCCACCGCAAATTGTTCATCCCATAGCTTTGTCGAAAGCTGCGATGCCTGCACACGCTACGCAACCGGCGAAAAACCAATAAACTATTTTATACGCGACCCTAACGAAACAACAATTGGTCTCCCCCCCACAGGTCTTCTCTCTCCTCCTAATTTCTCTCACTCTCCAATGGAGTTTTCGGTGCNACAAAACCTGGCGATCAATCATTGGGCTAATCCACCGCAAATTGTTCATCCCATAGCTTTGTCGAAAGCTGCGATGCCTGCACACGCTACGCAACCGGCGAAAAACCAATAAATTATTTTATACGCGACCCTAACGAAACGACAATTGGTCTCCCCCCCACAGGTCTTCTCTCTCCTCCTAATTTCTCTCACTCTCCAATGGAGTTTTCGGTGCTATTGTGTTCTCTGAATCGTTTGAGAGCTTCAGCGAATTCGTTCTTGTCTCAGTACCAACCTCTCACTCTGCTTCTCGCTCCTCTTCTCTCTCTCCTCGTCGCTCGAATCCTTCAATCCTTCGTTCATGTCGTCCACGACAAAGGACTCAAAGCTACACTTATAAGCTTCCTCATGTGCTCCGTCAAGTAAGTTTCTCAAACCCCTGCGTAATATTTNACACTTATAAGCTTCCTCATGTGCTCCGTCAAGTAAGTTTCTCAAACCCCTGCGTATTTTGAATTTTGATTTATTCTGTGGACAACTATATATATATATATATATGTTTGTTGAGCGAATTGGACAAATATTCGCAACAAACAATTTATCAAACTCGGATTTGTTTCGATAGTTCTACAAATGATTCTTCGTATTTTGGAAAAGCAGGTTGGTCCCTGGTGTCAAGAAGTACATGGACGCCGAAAAACAAAAGGTTCAGATATTTTTCTTTTGCTAATATTTCTTCAATAATATGATTATTTCATGAAATAGTGTATTCGTGCTTGTATGACGAGGAAATTTTGTCGAACTTTTTCTTTGACAATAAAAAAAATGAGATCGAGGTCGAGGAAGTATTGAATGTTTCTAATCAGAATTGCGAGTTAATTTCATTTCTGAACAAGTGCATTAAAACCCATCTGTAGTTTGCTGTTTCATAGGGCATTGCCTGACAATTCTGCCGGGTAGTGTAAGAGTACGAGAGGCTTAGACTCGTTGACTTGAAGTGTCTTTCTCACATTGTACTCCAAAAACCAGAAGTGGGCACCTCACAATAAATGTTCTGACCTGTTTGGTACATTGAAAGGCAAGAACTATTCCACGTGGGTTGTTAAATTATGATCACCGTTTGCACTAACTGATGCGAACTCATGAATTAATGTTTTCTGGTGTACCCCTGAAACATGAGTCTATTGTCAATTTAGGATTTTCTTTTTTATTGGATTTTGGGCTGCGCAACCCAGTCAGGTGGCCGGTAATAATAGCTAGTTGAGATTGCTTAACCTAGAATTGATCGCCAAAGTGTATTATTGCCTTTATTTCATTTTTAAAGCAACTCCAACCGGCTAGGTAAAAGCCCAATTTTAACTATTTTGGAGAGCTAAGAGCAAGTCCAACCAGGCTCCCTAAAATGGTTAACCAAATTATATTTAAATATTACATTCTCTATTTTAGCTAACACTTTTACAAGTTCACTCTAATCACGCTCTCTATTTTAACTAACTATTTCACCTAACTTTCACTAACTTGCAATAATTTAAAGGAAATTACAACATATATATAGAGAGATAGAGAGAGAAAGAGGTAGAAAGAGAATTTAGAGAGAATAAATGACTCTCCACACTTGGAGAGCCATTTGGGTGAAATAGGAAATAGAGAGTGAGTTGGAGAGTATTTTTAGTGTTTTGACTAGCTAAAATAACTAAAAAGGACGAAATAGAGAATGGGTTGGATTATCTACTTTAACTAGCCTCTTTTATAAGTTCACTGCAACAACGCTCTCTATTTTAGTTAACTATTTCAACTAATTTTTAATATTATAATTCAAAAATATCACGTAGTCTAAAACTTTGGCACCATAATGATGACGNTCTCAAGTAAGTGGAAGATGAGAGGAAGATGTTGTAGATGGTTGAGGTCTAGCATGAAGAATGGGTTCAGATGAAACAAGAGCTTCTTTAAGAACAAACCCAGATGCAGAGGATATAAGGAAAGCATAGCTTATTAGAGAGACTGCTGCCTCGATAAGTATTCAAGACATCAAGTATAGACAAAGAAGAGCAACTCGAACCCATGGATTTTGTTAAATCGGCTCAAGATTTATAGATTTGGGCACTAGGGTTTCTATCGGCTCTAGGGTTTCTATTGGCTCTAGGGTTTTATTGACTCAAGTAGAGAGAGCGCGCTCCATACTTGGTTGAAGACAATGAAGCCTCTATGTGATGAAGACGATGAAGCACAGTCGAAGAAGACGAAAACCACTAGCACAAAAGAGCAAGTACCGAGCAAGAATTGCCTCGCCAGAAGTAGCAATTGAAAAATGAATTTGGTAAAATGGCTAGTGAGATAGAGAGTCGGTTGAAAAGAATATTTAGGNTTTACCTTTTTGTCCTTATTGTAACTCTCATTGACTATATATACGAGGGCTCTACAATTAGTTTGTATCTCTTTCACTCACATCTATCTCAAGTTGGTATCAAAGTCAAACCTTAACCCTAACCCTAACCCTAGCCCTTTCTCCACGTTGTAGNATGAATTTGGTAAAATGGCTAGTGAGATAGAGAGTCGGTTGAAAAGAATATTTAGGAGTTAGAGCAACTCTAACCAATTTTAGCTAGCCGGTTGGTCCTAAATATTCTCTCCAACCGGTTCTTTATCCCCCTAGCCATTTTACCAAATTCATTTTTCAATTGCACTTTCTGGCGAGACAATTCTCACTCGGTACTTGCTCTTTTGTGCCCATGGTCTTCGTCTTCTTCGACTGTGCTTGATTGTCTTCATCACACAGAGGCTTCATCGTCTTCACCCAAGTATAGAGCTGTCTTTGCCTGAGTCGACAAAACCTTGGAGCTGATAGAAAGCCTAGTGCTCAAATTTGCAAAACCTGAGCAGATTTAACCAAACCCATGGGTTGGAGTTGCTCCTTTTTGTCAATACTTGTGTTGTACATATGTGTGTTGATGAAATTGGGGTGAATCAGCAAGAAATTGGGGTGAATCAACAATTCTAAGTTGGCTTGATGTCTTGAATATTTACCGAGGCAACAACCTCTTGAAGTAGCTCTGCTTTCCTCATGTCCACTGCATCTGGGTTTGCTCTAAAAGAGCTCTAGCTTCATTTGAACCCGTTCTTCATGCCAGACCTCAACCATCTTCCACTTTCTCCCAAAGTTTCATGGATTCCTTCTTCAGTGCTTTGACTTCAATCTTGTCCTCTTCAATTTCCCTTGCAAGCTCATCTCACACTTCCTCTATCACTGACCTTCCCTTTTTGAACATGAATACTCATACCATGTTGAATTTGTTGTTTCTTGTTGATGCTTTTAGATTGATAGTAGGGGTGACAATCGAGNTCAGCCGAGTTAGTCAGTTCATGCACAGGCTGTGTCAGCCTCATCTTGATGCAGTTTATCATATTCTTTGGTACCTCAAGTCTTGTCCTGGACTTGGGTTGTTTTATGCATCAAGATCTCAGACCGGTTCTCTAGCCTGTTATTCAGATTCAGATTATGGAGGAGCATGTGATGGTCGATCTACTACGGGCTTCTGTATTTTTTGAGGGACTCATCTTATCTCTTGGAAGAGCAAGAAGCAGACAGTTGTCTTCCGCTTGTCAGCAGAGGCAGAGTATCAGGCACTGGCAATTGGCACGTGTGAGATTATCTGGCTACGATCGATTCTTGGCGAGTTGGATTTTTCAGTGACCTCTCCATCCATATTATATTGTGATAATCGATTTGCTATTCAGTTCGCTTCTGACTCTGTACTACATGAGAGGACGAAGCATATAGAGATCAATGTTCACTTTCTTTGGGAGAAGGTTAGCAGTGATATTGTCACTCCATCGTTTGTGGGGACTAGTGATCAGGTTACGGATGTTTTTACCAAACCTGTCACTCTATCTATTCTTCGGGACTCCGTTGTCAAGCTTGATTTAGTTGATATTTTTGCATCTAACTTGAGGGGGAGTGTTGGAGATATAGCAGCAACCTAGTTTATTAGGGTTTTATTAAGTTTTTATTTTTTACCTTTTTGTCCTTATTGTAATTCTCATTGACTATATATAAGGGGGATCTACCCTTAGTTTGTATCCTTTTCACTCATATCTATCTCAAGTAAGTGGAAGATGAGAGGAAGATGTTGTAGATGGTTGAGGTCTAGCATGAAGAATGGGTTCAGATGAAACAAGAGCTTCTTTAAGAACAAACCCAGATGCAGAGGATATAAGGAAAGCATAGCTTATTAGAGAGACTGCTGCCTCGATAAGTATTCAAGACATCAAGTATAGACAAAGAAGAGCAACTCGAACCCATGGATTTTGTTAAATCGGCTCAAGATTTATAGATTTGGGCACTAGGGTTTCTATCGGCTCTAGGGTTTCTATTGGCTCTAGGGTTTTATTGACTCAAGTAGAGAGAGCGCGCTCCATACTTGGTTGAAGACAATGAAGCCTCTATGTGATGAAGACGATGAAGCACAGTCGAAGAAGACGAAAACCACTAGCACAAAAGAGCAAGTACCGAGCAAGAATTGCCTCGCCAGAAGTAGCAATTGAAAAATGAATTTGGTAAAATGGCTAGTGAGATAGAGAGTCGGTTGAAAAGAATATTTAGGAGTTAGAGCAACTCTAACCAATTTTAGCTAGCCGGTTGGTCCTAAATATTCTCTCCAACCGGTTCTTTATCCCCCTAGCCATTTTACCAAATTCATTTTTCAATTGCACTTTCTGGCGAGACAATTCTCACTCGGTACTTGCTCTTTTGTGCCCATGGTCTTCGTCTTCTTCGACTGTGCTTGATTGTCTTCATCACACAGAGGCTTCATCGTCTTCACCCAAGTATAGAGCTGTCTTTGCCTGAGTCGACAAAACCTTGGAGCTGATAGAAAGCCTAGTGCTCAAATTTGCAAAACCTGAGCAGATTTAACCAAACCCATGGGTTGGAGTTGCTCCTCTTTGTCAATACTTGTGTTGTACATATGTGTGTTGATGAAATTGGGGTGAATCAGCAAGAAATTGGGGTGAATCAACAATTCTAAGTTGGCTTGATGTCTTGAATATTTACCGAGGCAACAACCTCTTGAAGTAGCTCTGCTTTCCTCATGTCCACTGCATCTGGGTTTGCTCTAAAAGAGCTCTAGCTTCATTTGAACCCGTTCTTCATGCCAGACCTCAACCATCTTCCACTTTCTCCCAAAGTTTCATGGATTCCTTCTTCAGTGCTTTGACTTCAATCTTGTCCTCTTCAATTTCCCTTGCAAGCTCATCTCACACTTCCTCTATCACTGACCTTCCCTTTTTGAACATGAATACTCATACCATGTTGAATTTGTTGTTTCTTGTTGATGCTTTTAGATTGATAGTAGGGGTGACAATCGAGTCGTGTTGTGTCGGGTTCGTGTCGTGTCAAATATTAGTCGTGTCGAACATTAGTCAACCCATACTCAACCCATTTAACTATTCGCGTCGTGTTGAGTTGACCTGTTTATTTTCTTGTCGTGTTCGTGTTCATATTCGTGTTGATCCATATAAATTTTGAATAAAAAATTTAATGCTAAGATTTTATTTTACTTAATTGAATCTCTCTTCATACTTTTTCTACAAACTAAAAATTAACTTAATAATAATAATAATGAGTAACAATATCTTTTTTATACAATAATTATGTCAGTGGTTGATAAACAGTTACAAATAATTAATATTTTATTTCTATAATACTAATTAAATATGTTAATCGTATATCGCACAACCAAATTAAACATCATAAGTAATGGAAAAAACAAGTCATCAAAACATGAAAACTCATACATGCAACGAAAATGCCAGGTCAATCTCCTTCGAGTTAAAAACTGTATTGATGGGTCAATTCATGTTAAACGGGTTGAACCCGAACATGACCCATTAACATTTCGTGTTGACGGGTCGTGTCATACACGGGTTGACACAAAAAATTAGTCAACCCAAACCTATTTATTCGTATCGTGTTTCGTATCAAGTTATCGTGTTGTGTCAAAAATTGTCACCCCTAATTGATAGCATATATTCTTTAGCAATTGAAAGTTGCTTATCTAGTGATATTATTTGGGGTTGTTCTTAAATTGCTTAAAATGGATGGTTCTTAGAATTTTAAAGTTTGTTTGGAATTATTATTATGGTATGACTTTGGTTGGGTTGATGATAATACATACTTGGGTTGAATTACGTGAATAAAGTATGTCATGTCATCATTATGGCCCTGACGTGTTAGACTATGTGACATTTTCGAATTATATTATTGAAAGTTAGTTGAAGTAGTTAACTAAAGTAGAAAGCGTGGTTGGAGTGAACTTGTAGAAAAGGCTAGCTAAAGTAGAGAATGCAATATTTAAATATATTTTGGCAAGCCATTTTAGCTATTTTACGTAGCCAAATACTAAAAAAGCTCTCCAGCGCACTCTCTATTTCTCATTTCACCCAAATGGCTCTCTAAATTTGGAGAGCCATTCAGTCTCTCCAAATTTTCTCTCCCCCTCTCTCTCTCTATATATATATTTTACAATCCCCTTCAAATTATTGAAAGTTAGTTGAAGTAATTAGCTAAAATAGAGAGCGTAATTGAAGTGAACTTGTAAAAGTGACTCTAAAATAGAGAATATAATATTTAAATATATTTTTAGTAGCTAAAATGGAAGGTTGTGTTGGAGTTGCTCTTGGATAGATAAACCCTGGCTTGGCAGGAAACTGCAACTCACCAACTGGAATAAAGCCCTTAGGATAGAGTCACTAGAGCGTCAATTGAAGTAGTTTATTTTTTTTAGAGTGTATTTTACCATTGAAGCAGTTATGTGTAGCGTTAGAATCTTATATAAGTATAATAGTCGAAGCAGAAAGTAAATTAGCTTTTTCATTTTATAATTGCACCGTAGCTTGCTAACTATAGAATCTTGAAAGAAACATTTGCAATATTTCAAAAGCTATGTGGAGTAGAATCAATGATTTGCAATATTTGATGCGCATATGCCTGCTAATGTGGTGCATATATTAGGTAGGTCTTGGAGCTGTGCTCTTGGCTTTTGTAGGTGTATAATTTTGGTTTTGTTAAACTTAATAATCAAATAACAAAAACATTCTTGTGGTAGAATAGCTACAAGGATGCTTTAATCATTCATTTCTTTTTGCCTATTCTCTGGACTTGCTTCTCACTTGTTATTGTCCTTCACAGCGTTGCAGTTGTGTTATGATTGGTATTTTCTTGGTTCCTTGACTGTGCAGGTCGTGGACAAGCTGCAAGGTTCTGGTAAATCTAAAAGAGATGGTTGGAGGACTGAGTTGGTCAGGGAAGGATTAGGAGTTGGAGTTATAGAGAATATGAAAAATGAGAAAAGAAATGACGCGATCTGGCAAGGCAAATGTTCTGGTACAGTGTATGTTTCTAGATATTGTTGCAAAATTCTATCTACTCTATATTTGTTTCTTTTGGATTACTTGTTTTTTAACTTCATTATATTTGTGCAGCTATATTGGAGGAAGTGAGTCTGAAGGACATTTCTCTTTGATAAATGAGGCATGTTCAATGTTAGTACGGTTGAAGTGATTTGCATCTCTATTGTGGTGAAAATCCTGCTTTTATCGACCCACAAAGAAAGAAAAAATCTCAGAATCTGATCTATAGAATTTCCATCTCTTATGCCTTCTTGTGAATAACCTCAGGTTTGCACATACCAATCCACTGCATCTGGATGTGTTCCAGAGTGTTGTAAGGTTTGAAGCTGAAGTAGTTGCAATGACAGCTGCACTGCTTGGAAGTAAAGAAAAGGCTTATGGAGGGCAAGTGTGTGGAAACATGACATCAGGAGGAACTGAAAGCATATTATTAGCTTTGAAGTCATCACGTGACTATATGAAATCTAAGAAGGGAATCACGAGACCCGAAATGTAAGTTGGTGTTCTTTTTTTTTTTTTCGGTAAATAAATGTAATGGTTAATATGTATGTGATATGTGAATAATTTTTAGGGAGTGAACTTCTGAATTTCTTCCTAATCATAGGATAATACCAGAATCAGCCCACTCAGCATATGATAAAGCTGCACAATATTTCAACATCAAGTTGTGTCGTGTCCCTGTGACTAGAGAATTTCAAGCAGATGTCAAGGCTATCAAACGACGTATTAAGAAAAACACCATATTGGTATGGTTGTTGTTTTTAACATTGGCCTGCTCACTGGTTTTATTCTAGTTGCCTTCTCCTAGATGCTGTGCTTATTCTTTTCCGACAAAATGAACTTCTGAACTTCTAAGTCTTGGCATGTTGTTTTGGGATTTGCTTTCTGAGAGTCGTATCCAACTGTGCATTTTTTTGAACTCAACTTGAAATTTGTGAATCTACAGATTGTTGGATCCGCACCCGGTTTCCCACATGGCATCATTGACCCAATTGAGGTATATGACACTTCCTCGCATGAAATTTGATCATTCTTTATATTGTTCACCTATGAAACACGACAATTTCTTATGTAGGAGCTTGGCCAGTTAGCTTCTAGTTTTGGAATTTGTTTCCATGTTGATCTTTGTCTTGGTGGCTTTGTGTTGCCTTTTGCTCGTAAACTTGGGTATGTCTGTCTGGAACTATCCCTTGACTGATACTTTTATCACAAGCTAATTTGTTGATTGTGGTGTGCTATCCTGGAGGTGCAATTTCCACTTTTATGCCAGTTTGTCTTAATATGTATTCTCTCATTGTCCTCAATGATCTACTAAATTATGTGATACCCCAACCCAAACCTTTGTCCCTGTCTCTTGGATAATGTGATAATGGCTATAAAGATCCTTAATTGCCACATTATTACATGATGTTTGTTATCCTTGAACTCAAACTAAAAGCAGTTTGTAGGTGCAATGTTGATTCATGGGTTAATTTTATGGGGGTGTGGAATGAAGTTGAAGTAATCCGATTAGATGGTCAGTGCCATTTAAAGCTGATATGCTTTATGTGATGGGCAAATAGGTGCAGTTTCAAGAGGAGCACCCTCACTGCATCATCTGTGACAATAAAGGGTTCATCACTCTACATGTAAATTGTGGAGTTAGTTAATCCTGCTAGAAAATAACCTGGCGGTTCTTCAACATGAGACAACTTCTGGTTCACTTGGTGCCTCTCATTTGTGTGTTTAACTGTATGCTTATGATAACACCTTTAGTAGGCTAGGATGTATCAAGCTACTCTTTTAGGAGTTGGGCTCTCTGTGGCCCTGTTCTGTGGGTGTGTACTTGAACTATGTTGTAGTATCCTCTTTTTTCCAGAATAAATTTAGTTTATGTACCAAACTCAATGTGTGCTTATGATAAGTTTTGACACCAAGGGAACAACTTGCCAATAATAGGGATCAATCCACTAAATGATTAATCTTCTGGCTTCTTGTTAATTTTGGCTGTGAATATTTAATCCATTCTTTCAGGTACCCTGTTCCACCTTTTGATTTTTCTGTTGAAGGTGTAACCTCAATATCAGTGGATGTACATAAGTATGGGTTAGCTCCGAAAGGAACAAGTGTAGTTCTATACAGAAATCATGATATTCGGAAGGTAATCTGTTAGTTGTTTGATGCTATCAAAAAAAAAGAAAAAAAGAAAAAAAGAAAGAAAGATAAAGTGGACGAAAACTTTGGAATATGAGTAATATTGTCTCAATAAGAACCTTCTAATCATATATTCCATTCTTGAACCCCGACATTTGTTTATTTGCTGGTCTTATTTCTTGAAACCCAACTCTCTGGAGCATTTGTGGTTTTTGTACTGTTTAATGATCGTACCTTCTCTTAGTGAAATTATTTATAATTATCTAGAAACCATTTAGATATGATGGCATTGAAAGATAACTTAATCATGCTACCTGGCTACTTTATCTCCAATGTTGGTCCATATAATGACAAGACTCCTACTTTATCTCCACTAAAGTAAATTCAGCAACACCTGGTCGTAAATATATGCGTAGCTACAAAATCCTGCTTCATCATTCCACTGTCTTGGAGCATATATACAATAGAGCAGTTGAATGCAGCTTGGTGTAACAAAATAATATTGCTTCAGGTGATTATATATTCAATAAAACAATTGAATGCAGCTTGGTTTAAGATAATGATATTCTGGTTTAGGTCATATGTGATTTTATCAGTTGTAAGAGGCTTACTTGTTTCTGACTTTAATGAAAACTTTTCACTTAAATCCTGCACATTATGCAGTGGCTAAACATTAGTATGTTATTGGTTCCTTGTCCCCCGTTAAGCTCTTATATGTGTTTTTTGGGTGGCATCTTTGTTTTTGCGGGAAACTAAACAATTGCATGCTGGATAACTTCTTGGCTTCCGGAAAACAGCATCAATTTGTTGCTGGTAAGTTATTTTCTTTTATTCAAAATGATGTCTTTGATAAGAGAGTGTGGAAGATAAAACACTTTGAGTATCTAATTTGATTTGGATAATCATATGAAAACAAGATTTGAAATCAAATAAGAGAGCAATGTCAAATTACAAGTGTTTGGCCACACTCGTCTTAATGGTGGCCTGACATTATTATATGTCAGTTTTTCTGAATGTTAGGAAATATTGATGTCTTGGCTAAGTTGTCTATTAGTTTCTCATGGTACCATGCATCTGTGTTGTTTTGTTTCATGCTATAGTTACTGAGTGGTCTGGTGGACTTTATGTGTCCCCAACCATTGCTGGAAGCAGGCCTGGGAGTTTGATAGCGGGGGCTTGGGCAGCAATGATGTCTCTAGGACTAGAAGGTGATCTTCTCATTAGTCATAACCATATATTATATCAAATATATGGTTTGTGGATTAACTAATTTTCCGTTACACTTTGCAGGTTACTTGGAGAACACACGAGTGATCATGGAAGTATCAAAGAGAATACAAAAAGGGTATATAGTGCTAAACCTTTTTGGGAAGGTTAAAATTACTAATAGCGTTTCAAAATCTGACTGCTGGACATTGCTGTCACCCATTATGCAGAATAAAAGAGATTCCTGAATTGTTTATCATTGGAAGGCCTGACATGACAATTGTGGCTTTTGGATCCGATGCTGTAGACATATTTGAAGTCAATGACATATTGTCATCTAAAGGCTGGCATTTGAATGCATTGCAGAGACCCAACAGGTGAACTATTGATGCAAGGGAATTCTTAATTTTGACGCATGTAGAGATAGGTTATTATGAAAGTCACTCCAATGCAAATTGGGGTAGCTGATCACTGTCTGAAGCATGAAGTTATATGGCATCTCAATATTTTGATTTGATTGGACGTTTCTAACTAGTTAATCATCAGCTCCCATGGTTGAATGGGTTATACATTAGAAGCCTGCTCTAGGGAGTGATGAAGGAAGTTTATATTTAGTTTTACCTTCATGTGTCTAATTGTTCTGAAATTAGTTTTCTATGTGCATTCATCAGTATACATATCTGTGTGACCCTTCAACATGGACCAGTTGTAGAGGAATTCCTGAAGGATCTGAAGGATTCCGTACAAACAGTAAGTTGTTTACTAGAAACTAAAATTTCGAACCATCATTGGTAAATGTTGTTGTGGACCATTATATGATTTCCCACTTTGACAGCATTTTGTTTCCTTTCAGGTAAAAGAAAATCCAGGTCCGGTAAGTGGAGGGCTTGCTCCAATATATGGTGCTGCAGGGAAGATGCCAGACAGAGTTCTGGTTAAGGATTTGTTGGTAGATTTCATGGACAGTACATGCTAGTGGCATTCTTTTACTCTTAATTCCTTCTGTTTGTTACAATCATTCCTGTTGTTGAATAATTCTTATGTAAAAAGCATGAAAGAAACAAATTCAACATTGATATTCATCAAGTTTTTCTTGGATTGGCCCTGCATGTTTTGATATTTGGTGGAGGAATACTCTGAGGAAAAGGGGGGAGAATAGGGAATAAGTTCAGACGAGCAAAAATAGAAATAAAACAATAGGAAAAAAAAAACTAAGCCAGGGGCCCAATTGAGCTGACATTTGAATCCCAGGTCTCTCCCTAAGCCATTTCCTCAGTGAGACACCAGAGTCTACGCTGCACAGTGTACATAATCAAGGAATCTAGTTGTTGGTCTTGGCGTGGGGTTGGGGCAAGTTGTGCAGTCCTCTCTGGTATCCCAAAGTGAACTACTCTGTCGTTCTTAACTAAATGTTGTACCATATGCAGCCAGTTATGCATGTTGTTGCTACATTAAAAAAAAAAAAAAAGAAAGAAAGAAAGAAGAAGAAAAAGGTCGTCCTGACTTCGACAGGGTACAAGACTTTTGCTAATTTGAGGTTTTAGAAAATGTTAAATGTGTTCAGTTTTATCTTCACAATTGGAGATATTATTTTTACAATTCGAACTCTGTGTTACTATATATTAACATGAATATGAATAACTTGGGCATGAAATGTCATTGCTTAAAATAAAAAGACATAACTATAAAAATTTTATACTGCTTTTATGAAAGAAAGAAAAAATTAAAAAATTGTTACCATAGTTAGACGAGTAAATGTGTAATGTAATGATGACATCTTATCTCTATTGTCAATTGATGTCATCATTAATTAATATACAAATGAACTTTACTTTTCACTTGAGGTAGTTTGTGAAGTTGTTAAAGTAAAGTTTATTTTATATATTTATTTGTTATTAAATGATGATATTACGTAATAATAACGATACCCTTTCATGGTTATATTAGACATTTTCTCTAAGTTTGACCCCCTAAAATTCGTATAGCAAAAAGTTAAAAACACATCACATATGCACAAACAGCATATGACCCATATATACACATACGTGACACACACCTTATGAGTTGTGGCCCAACGAAAACACCTCAATCCCAACTCTAAAATAAGTCCGACCCATCACTTACATCATTTTCTTCTCTCTGTCCTCCGATTACTGAACTAAAACAGAGCCTGCGAAACAAAAAGGGCTGCCGGAGTTAAGATCGAGTTGTCTTCGCCGACGCCGACTTCGTTAATGGGAGATGGATTAGTATCAGAATGGACGGAGATTGAACAAGAAGGTCACTGGTAAGGATCCGTTCCTAAAGTCTGGTAAAAGAATGAGTTTGGTATGAAGAAAACTCTGGTCTTCAACAATAGACGTCCTCCCAATAGAAAGAGGACTAATTGAGTTATGCACGAATGCCGTGCCACTAATCAGGCGCTCGATAGGGGCACCGCAGATAGGTTTAATCAGTTGGAAAAAATTGGTTTTATACAAATTATTTGAGTGAATTGATACTTAAATAAAAGTGGGACCCAAACCTCGAAATTAGTAGGCTAAATTTAAACGTGTTCTCCTTCAGGAGTAGATTAACTTAGTATATTTATTTATCTAAAACCATTAAGATTTGAATGAGAAATTATGTCTCAAAGTGACTTATTTGAATTAATAAAATAAACTAAGATTGATATAATAAAATAAGACTTGTCTTACATTGAAAGAAAATCAACACTTTGGTGAGCTAATATATTTTTAGTTGGCTTCATGGGTTTGGGTCTCAAGGGGTACTACACTTTTGTGAACGGAGCAAGTACATACACTATTTTGATTATCACATGTGCACTGCTTGCTCGCTCGCTCGCCATGACTCGACCTGATCGGGCTTGGGCTTGGGCTAAAGAGTTATAATCTTTTTGAACAAAATTTATTTGGAGCGGTGCAGGTCATGGGTCAAATCAATCGGATTAGAATTAAAAATTTCAACTGAAATTTAAATCCAACTAAAATTTTAAATTTCTATCCGATACCTTTTGAATTTGGTGCTAAAAGGGGTTTGATTTCATTCCATGTGTCTGTTTCCCGAGAGCTTGTTCATCCAAGAGATGCCTATTGCCAGTTCAGATTAAAGAGTGTCTCTCTAATCTGAATAGTGGCAACTCATGCTTTTTTAGGCAATCTGAACAGCCACCAATGATTTATAAATAGACTGCCCTTTTGCAATTTCAATCCATCCTATTCTAAATTCTAGTTTCAAAATTTCTTCCCTCTCTCTCTGCATATTGTTGCATTATTCTTTTGGTTCAGTTCAAGTATAAACACAAGTTGTGTTTGCTAGAATCTTGAAGATTGTAGTGCTGCTTCTTCAAGAAGGAAAAATTCATTATATCTTGGAAGATAGTTACTCATCTACCTTGAGTATCGAGAGGGAGCAAATTTGTTTCAAGGAGATTGTGTTTTACAAGGCTCGGAGTAAAGTTTTAGTTTTTCTTATTAATTATTCGTGTTAATTTGCATCCCTGTGAGTGCACTGCTTTTGATTTCTACACATTTTGTTTAGTTTAGTGCATGAGTTAGGCTTTATACACTTTAATATAATCTAATTATATACACATTTCCTATAATAATCTTAAGATAGATTTTGTGTTTTATAATTAAATTAAGTATTGTTACAAGTCTAAAACAGAATTTTGTATTCTGTTACTGTTTTACTGTCATTAATTACTATACCTATCACAAATTAGAATTGTGGATTATGTTAGACTATTTATTTTAGCATTAAATTATTGTTTCTGTTTGTGTAACAGAAATAACAACTTCAAATGATTCTATTCCTTCTACTGTTGTTCATACAACCGTGAGTGTGTCTCATAGGAAGAAGCCCGAGAAGTTCAATAGCTTAGACTTGAAACATTGGCAATTTAAGATGCTTTTATATCTCACCACCCTTAATCTTGCAAAGATTCTTAAGGAAGATGTTCACTTGATGTGAATGAAACAAATATGAAAAAGGTGGCTACTGTGGATGCTTAGAAACATGCAGATTTCTTGTGTAGAAATTACATTTTCAATGGGTTAGACAACACATTATACAATGTGTATATTGCAGTCAAAACTGCGAAAGAACTTTGGGAGTCCTTGGATAAAAAGTACATGACCGAGGATGCCAGCACAAAAAAGTTCATTGTCAGTAAATTCTTGGATTTCAAAATGGTAGATTCTAAACTGTTATCTCTCANGTGCAGGTCATGGGTCAAATCAATCGGATTAGAATTAAAAATTTCAACTGAAATTTAAATCCAACTAAAATTTTAAATTTCTATCCGATACCTTTTGAATTTGGTGCTAAAAGGGGTTTGATTTCATTCCATGTGTCTGTTTCTCGAGAGCTTGTTCATCCAAGAGATGCCTATTGCCAGTTCAGATTAAAGAGTGTCTCTCTAATCTGAATAGTGGCAACTCATGCTTTTTCAGGCAATCTGAACAGCCACCAATGATTTATAAATAGACTGCCCTTTTGCAATTTCAATCCATCCTATTCTAAATTCTAGTTTCAAAATTTCTTCCCTCTCTCTCTGCATATTGTTGCATTATTCTTTTGGTTCAGTTCAAGTATAAACACAAGTTGTGTTTGCTAGAATCTTGAAGATTGTAGTGCTGCTTCTTCAAGAAGGAAAAATTCATTATATCTTGGAAGATAGTTACTCATCTACCTTGAGTATCGAGAGGGAGCAAATTTGTTTCAAGGAGATTGTGTTTTACAAGGCTCGGAGTAAAGTTTTAGTTTTTCTTATTAATTATTCGTGTTAATTTGCATCCCTGTGAGTGCACTGCTTTTGATTTCTACACATTTTGTTTAGTTTAGTGCATGAGTTAGGCTTTATACACTTTAATATAATCTAATTATATACACATTTCCTATAATAATCTTAAGATAGATTTTGTGTTTTATAATTAAATTAAGTATTGTTATAAGTCTAAAACAGAATTTTGTATTCTGTTACTGTTTTACTGTCATTAATTACTATACCTATCACAAATTAGAATTGTGGATTATGTTAGACTATTTATTTTAGCATTAAATTATTGTTTCTGTTTGTGTAACAGAAATAACAACTTCAAATGATTCTATTCCTTCTACTGTTGTTCATACAACCGTGAGTGTGTCTCATAGGAAGAAGCCCGAGAAGTTCAATAGCTTAGACTTGAAACATTGGCAATTTAAGATGCTTTTATATCTCACCACCCTTAATCTTGCAAAGATTCTTAAGGAAGATGTTCACTTGATGTGAATGAAACAAATATGAAAAAGGTGGCTACTGTGGATGCTTAGAAACATGCAGATTTCTTGTGTAGAAATTACATTTTCAATGGGTTAGACAACACATTATACAATGTGTATATTGCAGTCAAAACTGCGAAAGAACTTTGGGAGTCCTTGGATAAAAAGTACATGACCGAGGATGCCAGCACAAAAAAGTTCATTGTCAGTAAATTCTTGGATTTCAAAATGGTAGATTCTAAACTGTTATCTCTCAGGTTCAAGAAATTCAAGTAATCCTTCATGACATCCATGCCGAGGGTATGTCTCTTAGTGAGTCATTTCAAGTGGTGGCAATTGTGGAGAAATTACCACCCATATGGAAGGAGTTCAAGAATTATCTCAAGCATAAGCGCAAAGAGATGAAACTTGAAGAATTGATTGTTCGCTTTAGGATTGGGGGGAGTATAACCATATATCCGAGAAGAAAAGTAAAGGTTTTAATTCTATGAAATCTAAGGCCAACATAGTTGAAAGTGGAGCCAAGACTAACAAGAAAGTAAAGCACAATGTTGAAGGTCCAAATCAAGGATTGAATAAATTCAAGGGCAAGTGCTACAACTGTGACAAACCGGGGCATATATCAAAAGATAGGCGTAAGCCAAAGAATTTCAAAAAGCTTAATTCTCAAGCAAACATGACTGAAATGGACAAGCTTTTTATGGAAATCAACGA